TGACTAAAGACGAGTTTTTTTTATATAAAGAAAGTGGTTGCTTTAATTTTGTCACTTAAAAAAATATTTAAATTTATTTTTCTTATTTATAGCTATTTTTTACGTCTCCAGAACCTGCAGATTATCGGGAAAACTTTATTTTTCTTAACAAACGCTTAGTAATTCTTATAGTTCTTTTAATTACTTAGTATGGCAAATGCTGCTCATTATTATTTATAAGTTTTCATAAATGCGTTCTCGCTGCTATGGGAGAAATAATCAAACATTTACAAACTTAGGAATGTTGCTTGCAGGACTCGCCATACTGATCGTTTTCTTCTTGTGCTGTTATTTTATTTAAGTTCAGATTTGATTTCACTGGACCTTTTAATTTAATTTTACTACCATTTAATTTTTGAATTTCATAGGTAGGAATAACATATTATTTACCATTTTCTATTTAATGTGAACCTGACCTCCTGCTACATCTGCATACAGGCTTTCCAAAACTTCAAGCAGTACATTTTCCACATAAATAAATTAAACATTTTTATAAGCTATTAAGCAGACTTTATATAGAAATCATAACATTTTCAATAACCATGAGCCGTGAGATTTACGTACCAACGCCAATGAAAAGGCACGAATATGACGCGCTACAAATGGACTCATCACATGCTTAGTTAATTTCATAATTAGAAATGTTTAAAAAAGGACCCACTATTCAAGTAGGAACATGGATAAAACGTAATATGTTACCCGAATACGAGATGGAATACGTTTATAAATTTGTATAAAATGTACCAAAATGTATAAGGCCATCGACAGCTATTAGAAGGTTAATATTAGCCAAGAAATCGTATTTTATAGAAAGCACTTTTTGGCGACAGTTAAAAGGAGGCTCATTAAAAATACGGCATCATCACGTAAATGAGATTTTTGGGCATCACGAGGCAGGATTTTTATTATTAAGACCTTATATAAACAATTACCTTTAATTGACATCTATAGTATTATAATTTCGAATAATATGGCATAACTGCTCTGTATATTCTCGTCTACAGTGATCATTTCATCAACGTCAACGGAAGGTCACTAAGGGAAGGAAAGGGTTTAAAAACACACGAAAAGTCGGTCAGCAATCAATTAGCTGACGGTTACGGAGATGTTTCAGCAATATAGTTTTTGCTTGAAACCTAAATTAATAGCGACTTAGATAAGATGTTGTCCGCTTCATGTAAACTCTTGGCACGTATTTCCGCCTGCTGCGAAAAAATTGAAAATTAGAAAACTAAGAGGCTGCAAATACTTCCATTTTTGGGAAGAAACAGGCATGATCCCTTGGACAAGAATTTTATCCGCCTGACATGTTTAAGTCCGTCATGGATCCATCATCAAATAATAACGGCAAATTTTGATGGCTCGTTGCAGTGGTGATTTACCAAACCCCAAAGAAAGCCCCTGTATTGCAAGTTTCCGGGGATCGAACTAGGTTGAATTCCATTCTGAACAGCATAGTGTTAATAAACTATCTAAAGTGTACCAACTATAAGAAATAAGAATGGAAAAATTATCTTATCGGCAGTATTGCAATGACTAGTTGTCCACCCTGGGATAAGTGAGAATATCCGACCCCCTCCTCCCTACCCGACGGTGCTGCTACGAATTTTAAGGCGAAACACAGTGTAAGCCGCCAAGGGTCGTCAAATAAATTTTCAGCTCGTGCCCCACTTTTGTATCCAATCGCTAAAATTGTGTCTTTCCTGACCTTTTCTAAGTTCAGGTTTTAGCAGTTGATACTGAGACCTTTCCTTGTATGTATTTTCTTGACTTTTCTTTAACCACTGTAGTATTGTCGCTTTAATCTCCCCAATATAGGGTTGTCGTTCTCATATCTACCGTTTTACACGAAGATTAAACTCATATATGTACATGAAGTAGATCAATTTTAATCTCTGGTTGCTGCCATGTCACTTACCTTGTATCTGGTCAACCAAGATTGGCAATTCGTATGTCTTCGTGCGTGGGTCTTCGTACAGACTACCGTGCTGCAGGACTTCAATGTGCGACAGGCCACTGCTGGTTGCATTCAAGAGTAGTCTCCGCAGATTCTGCCCCAAAGCCATATAGGAAGTCTCCTTTGAGCTGACCTCATAAAAAATGGACAGTCGGGACCAACCGTTGTATCGCAGAAACGTTCCCAGGGTTCTTACTAGCGTTTGGATCCTCAAAGGCAGGGAAAGAGCACAAACTTCCAACGGATTCGAAGACTTCAAACGTGCTGTCCCTTTCTTAACTACGTCCGTAAAGAGGCTGTGTTGCGTTTCCGGACGGCATGCATAATTGAGTTGGTAGAGACTGTGATAGGAAATGTCACTGAACCCGGAAGTTGCTATCCAGCTGCTGACGAATGGACATTCGCCGCCCAGAGTTGGCCCTAAAATAACGCAAAAGCCCGTCGAATTCTCCAATTCTTCAACTATTTCGTTGAGTGTTTTAACCAGAATGAAAGCCCGATTGTCCTCTTGAAGAAAACATCCCGGAATACGTAGGTTTTGGACGTAGACTGTGATATCGATGTTCCAGTTGGGCACTTGGGTATGAAGATACTCCAATGGCTGATAAATACTGGCAGAATAATTAAAAAGCAGAGTTTCGGGAATGCATCTGGTCGGTGCAAGTATGATTATTATTTTGAGGGGTATTGAAGGCAACGTTGTGTCCTCAACGGCACCCGCAGCAACAACCAGTATAAACGTTAGAAGAATACGGCGTTCTATGCCCATGCAAAACGTGCCTCTACTCAACGCTAAATGAACCCCCGTCTTTAGACGCTACTTTCTGGCATTCGTCGCCGTCTCAGTGGTGCGCAAAATTCAAGGAGGAAGGAGCACACGGTTTAAGTGGTCTACATTGTTCCAGTAGTGAACTCTGCCAACTTAATGAGTACTGCTATTAGCCAAGTCGCGACAATCACCTCCTTTCTTAACACAAGCAGTCTAATAGAAACCCGTTAAAAGGCCCATAGGTGGGGGGCGGAATTGCGGGACAAACGAAGGAAAGTGCGATGAAATATCAAAGACTTACGCATAAAAAGGTGACAACAGTAAGTGGAATATTGTTGCGTGTGGGAAAAGGAACGGTATAAATGGATGCTTAACACGAAAGGTGGAGCGATAGATGCTGCCATCAAACAGTAGGAATGGCTATTATTCCTGTTGAGATGGCAAAAGGGATGCATGAAGAAGGTCTTAGCAGCAAGGGTAGGAGCTGGTGGGACGAACATGAGAATAGTAAGCACACTGTTCCGCAGCGAAGCATTTCTACACGGTTTTTGTTGATCTTAATAGGATATGTCCAAGGAGGAAAAACTTCGCTTCTGTTAAGTACTCTGGGAAAGGGGAACACGTGAATTATCATTGAAAGGTCACGAGCACGTCACGAGACTTGTTATGATTGAGAGTCAGTGAAGAGGCCGCCCAGACATTTGCATATAGAACAGGAGTATATACAGAATTTAGATCCAACAAAGACATTGGAGAGTAGAATTGTAATTTCTGGCATATAAGATATCGTTAGCTAAGCCTAATAAACTAAGGTCCTAGTAAGAAAGTTCGACATCTTTGGTGATATAGTCCAATGCTCTGCCACTGAGTCACGAGCTCGTTCTCTTGCTCTTTGCAAACAGGGATTTCAATTTTTTCAGCTTTCCAATTTCCTCAAATTAATTTCTAACTCGAAGTAGGGCAGTATACTCAATGATCTCCAGGTGTAGCCTGAAATTTGATATAGTTCAGTATATTTAGGGCAGTAGGCAATGCCTTTGAAGATCCTATTGAAACCAGTATGCAAAAAATATCTACCATCAAATATTTTACTATAAAATGGTGAGTATCATATACACATGTACACTTTTCTATCTATCTACCTAAATGTGTGTGCGAAGCGTTGGTGTGTGCTAACAGTGCTTTCCTGTGCATGTGAACGGTATCTGTTAAGTAAATATAAATCAAGTTTGCGTTTAAAATGCATCTCTCGAGTTCGCCAATATGACCTTCTCAGGCAGTCCATTTCACGGACCGATGACTCGCTGCGAAAAAGAAGAGCTAGAAACATCCAGATGGAATAAGGTTCCGTGGATTTTGAGAGAATTCCCACGAAAGTTAGTTGGTGCGACGAATGCGAAGAAGTCATGAAACTGCAGGGCACGAGTTGGCTCCTCACGAGCCGGCACGTCTGTATGAGATCACCCCAGATTTGCTTGTACTCAAGAGGAAGAAGGTTAAGTGCATTCAGTCTAAATTTGTAAGATAAGGCCTCCAAACCCTTCACAACTTTTCTTCCCCCCCTGGACTCTTTCCAGCAGCTGGTAGTCCTTTTGCAGCCACGGACGCCACGTCTGAACTCCATATTCGAGACGTGAACGATTACATGTCCCGTATATTTTGCGAAATAGTTCATTATTGGTGTCGAAAAAACTTCGCTTAACGGCAAACAGAACACTGTTTGTCCTTTTGGCAGCCTTAGCACATTGCAAAGACGGCTTTAGAGATGGCACAATAATGATTCCCAGCTCTTTTTGTTTGGTTACGTTCCACAGGCACCTGCCATCAAGTAAGAGGTTGTAAGAATTGCCCATCGCGCTGGCCTTCTTCGATGTGGCGCACTTCTCAAAGTTAAGCTGCATTAATCAAGAGCTTTTTGCAGAGTTTGTTCATTATAAGTGTTTCTGGTGGGTTGGCATATCTTAATATTATCTGCAAACAAGACTCCATTTCTGCGCGTCCATGCCTACAGTCATAGTCGTATATTAGGAAGAATAAGGGCCAAAGAACGGAGCCTTGAGGCACTCCGCTAACAACTGGCATTGAAGGGGATTTTGCGTTTCCAACGCACACGGACTGCGATTGGCCTATAAGGAAATCTCCTATCCAATTTATTAAATTTCCCCTTACCCCGTATTCACCAACCTTGTAGAGTAGCCGTTGGTGTGGGACACTATTGAAGACTTTTTGACGTCTATGTTAACGACGTAGACGTTGGCATAATCGTTTAACATCCTGGACCACTACTGGATTGAATGAAGCATATTGGGCAGGCAAGAGTGGCTTCCTCGAAATCCGTGTTGGCCACCGTCAAAGGAGTATTTTTCTTCGAGAAACTTCACGGTGGACTTTTTGATAATACTTTCCATAACTCTGCGACAAATGCGAGTTGGGCTTACCGGTCGATATTTGTTAGCTCTGGTTCTGGGTCCACCCTTGTGAATAGGGCATATGTTCGCAACATTGTAATCAGAGGGGAGGAGGCCTCGATCAAAGCACAACTGGAAAATATGCGAAAGCGGCCTGAAAAGTTTCGTAGCCAGCTCTTGCACAACTTTTGTCGGTATTTGGTCTAGACCCGGAGCCTTAGCTTCATTAGGCACAATAAGTTCCTTCTCCACATCCTCTTCTGTGAAATCGTGGTCCTCCGTGATTGTGTTCTTGCTCCATACAAGGAAGTCTGCCGGATTAAAATGCTGTTCCTCAGTGAAAACAGAGGCGAAAATTTAGCAAGATTGTTCTGTCTTTTCGGGATTTCCAGGACTTTCTTCGTTGTTTTCACCTATTAAGACTGCGATTGTTTCCTCATTTTTTAACCTACTGTTGATGTAGCTAAAAGGAACTTTTAGCTTATGTACGGCCCATCCTTTAATTTTTGCTTCATATTCCTTCCGCAATTTGCGAATCCTTGACCTTAGTTTATTCCGCTTTCCGCGGATTTCTTCGTAGTGTAAGGGTTGACATGTTGCTGTATACATCCTCCAGGGCTTGTTCTTCCTGTTTATCTAACTCTTCAAATCTCGCGTTAACCATGTGGGTCGGCTCGCCTGTTACACTTTTTTTGCGGATATTTTCGACGCATAACGTCGTTTATGACATCCCTGAGAATGTGCCAATCGGCGTCCGAACTACCGGTAAAAATTTCTTACCAATTTAGTATCGATAGCTCACTTCTCATCGCGGGGTAATTTCTGCGCCAGTAATTTAGTCGAACCTCCTTATTTTTCGCTTGATTGATTTTTAAATAGTATTCTCACAGAAGCATGATATGGTTGCTCTTGACAAGCAGTGCAATTTACCTGAGTTCAGTTGCATCAATTGGACCTTTCGAAAGCGCGGGGTCTAGACAGTTCGCTGTTTGTGCCTCTGTGATTCTTCTTGGAAATGCCACATTATGCACGAGAAAGAGCGTCCCTGTTAGTTTTAATAGTCTGGAGCTAAAAGACTCGCGCGAACATTTTACTGATAACTCTTCCCAGTCGAATAGTGGGGCCTTAAAATCTAAATCTATCAATGCGTTTTCATTTTGGGCCAATTCTTTCATTAGGCCAAACATGGTCTTGTCAACCTCGGGAGGTTGATTTGGCGCCCTGTAGATAGTCATGAAATTTAAAGTGGGTGCGCCATTCGTTTTCAGTTTAAGCCATAGTGTTTTGCAATCGAGGGAGCAACTAAGTTTGCGTTCTGACGCAAGTATGCCCCTCTTGACAGACACTTTTATTCCTCCTCCTCTTCTATGCATCCGGTCCCGACGAAGAACTTGGTAAACCCCGAGTACAATCTCGACATCCATTACATCGGCCTGTAATCAGGTCTTTGTAAAGGATATGACATCCGGCTGTAGGTTAGCTACACAAACTTAAAGCTCATCAGTCTGCTGAAGCGAACTCTGTGCGTCCGAATAAACAAAGCGCATTTTCGCCAGTATGGATTTCTAAGCGATTTTTGGGTCGGCGTAGCCGAAAAGTTATTGCGGATTATCTACTTTATTGCCTGACTTTGGATCTATTTTTGTTCACAAAATTCAGTGTTATTGGCTGTCTCCAGAGGACTGACCTCTGGGCGGTGATTATTTCCCCGTCCATTATTTGCAGGTTCCTTCGCCCGCATTGGATCTCCTGTGGAGTTCGGTTTTCAATTCCTTCCCCTTCTCCTGTGATCAGGGATTCCAACCATTTCACCTCTTCAATTTCCCCAAATTTATCTCTTAATTGAGGTAGAGCGCCCCCATTTGCTCCATCTTGTATAAAATCGATGGTCGTCGGTCCCGTATTACAGAATTATGGGGAGATTGTTACTGTTAGACAAGATTTTCATGGAAAATGTTGCCGCATTCATTTCTAAAAACTCTGATCACCCCTTTTTCCTTCGGTATCTCTCCTGCTGCGAGATCCTCTCCATTGCAGCATGTTGGAATGCCCACCATGTGAATAAAACTATTTTGTATTCCATAAATCCTTTTTGTTAAAAGTCATGTTTGTCGGAGGATGGCAGTCAGGTGCAAAACGTGATCATAAATATAGTGATAATATTTACTCATGTTTAAAACAAACAACCCACTGAACTTCCTGGACTACCTTCATGATCCACCATATCGAAAGGGCGAGTTCTGGCTGAAAGCTCAGACACGTGTTTTGCCGGAGTTCTGCCACTCAATGACCTGTGGAGATGTTATATCTTTTACCTCCTATGCATGTACAGAGCGAGGCCTTGAGGCAGGTGAATGAATATTACACGGTTAACAGTTCAACAGTTGCCTCCATCATCCACGGAGGAGAAAGAAGGGGCAATTTCTGACACGAAGTTGTATTTAAGATGACGTTTCGAAAGCATTCTCGTTTTCATCATCAGAGTGTGGTGTCTATTCTCCTGCTGGCGTCGAGTAAATGTGTCTGACCGCTAGACGCGTGTTAAATCTGCGCCGGACGCTTGAATATCAATCGATTGTACCTATCGATTGC